CCCCAACTGGCCCCCCTGCCAGCCTGCTCGCCCCCAACTGCCCCCCCCAACTGGCCTGATCACCCACAACTGCCCTCCCCTCTTGGCCCCTAACTGCCTCTACCTCAGCCCCGCCACCATGGCTTTGTCCAGAAGAACATCTGGAAGGTCTCCTGGAAGTCTCCCAGTCTAATTAGCATATTACATTTTACATAAATAAAAAATAAACTTGCTTAATTAGACCCGCTTTCTGATTTAGCTAAACTTTTTCCAGCCCTGTGAAGCACCCCCCACTTCTCTTTCAGGTAATTATCAGCAACACAGCAGTAAATATCAACATGAAGCAGATTATTATTTTAGATCACAAATTGCAGGGAGAACAAAGGGTAAAATATTTAACTTTAGCAGTGTTTGACTATATTCTGCACAGTGAGAAAACCTGAAGTCATTTCCACCGTTTCTTACTTTTCAGTCAGGTCAAGTTTCTAAACTTTGTAAATCTGTTTTTTGACTAATGAAAAGAAAATAGAATTCTACCGAGTCTCCTTTCTACCTACTCCAGGACTTCTGTGAGAATCAAATGAGATGAGGCATGTGAAAACGCTTCACAAACATTTGGTTAAACTGTAAAATGTTTGCACCTGGCTATAAAGCAAGTCGGGTTCTTGGGCTGAAGAAACTTCAAGGAGGCTAGTTGCTAGGGAGAGGAAGCTGGGCATTGCTACATGATGTCATTACCCGGCGCCCACCGTCAACCATTTCCGGGTTGGGCTGGGCCCCGCATTTCGCGCCATGGGGTCTTGGCAGCGTTGGCTGCGATCTGGTGGGGTGTCGCTCTGGGGTGGTGGAGGGGCCTGTGTCCCACTTGGGGGAAGCCAAGTGTTGGTTTGTTGGCAATAGGTCTGTGGTGCCATTTATTTTTAAATGGCCAGTGCACGTCATGGCAGTTCCTGCGTTGAGCGTCTTCTCCCTGTTGGTCAGTGAGCATCATAGCTACTGGTCGAACGGAGAGACACTTAGCCTTTTATATATATAGATTTCCTTTCAGCAACCAGTGAATTGGTTTCTCACTGGAGGAAGCTTCAGCCAGTCATCTGAATTGGGAAAAGTAGGACTACATGCCACTAAACTATCTCTTCCCATGGCATGTTTATGTCCTTTCTATCAAAGATTTACACTAGGGTGGTGGGTGACTATCTTGTCTTCTTACCACTTAGGTTTTAAAAAAAATTAAACTTAAAAACTTGAATAAAAATGTGGAAATATATATATGTTTTCTTTATGTCTTCTCTGATGATTAAACATTTGGATATGAAATTTGGCGAGAATGCTCTGAGGAAAGAACAGGGTTTGTATATTACTGGGGAAACAAGACAGACCCATGAAGTCCTCGCTCACCTGTGACACTGTGATGCTGCATTTCTTGGCCAGCTCCTCTTTGGCTTCTTCACTGGGGTAGGGGTTGCTGAGGTGTGAGTAAAAATATTCATTCAAGATTTCTGTGGCTTGTTTACTGAAGTTACGCCTTTTTCGTCTATGACAAAAAACAAAAAGAATTGTAGTTATAATAAGCACTAACCAAAGAGAGATATATTAATTAGGATCATACCAAAAAAAATAGATTTCTATTTTTAAACATTCTTGGGGTCTAATTTATCAATATGGTATTATAAATTATGCTCTTGGCATCCTCCAAAGCACTAGCCAACGCATTTTAAGACTTAGAATCACTAAGAAAAATACTAGAATGGTGAAGCACTATTAACTTCATTCTTTAATTTATTCAACAAATATTTACTAAGGATCTAATGTGTTCTAGATATTTAATAAAGATTCAGTTGGAACAAAACAGATAATACCTACCAGAGAGTTTATAGGAGATTGGAGGGTTAAGGTGAAAAGTAGAAAGTTAGGGGAAAAAAAGATATTAGACAAGTATCACAGAAATAAATAATTACAAATTGTGGTGACCATATCAAGTACGATGAAGGGAAAGCATAAGATATAATGAGAGTGTATCAGAGGGGAACCTAACAGATTATGGTGTCAGGAAAGGTTTCCTTGAAGGAGTGACATTTAATCTGAGACCTGGAGAATGTGTAGGAGTCAGTCAAAGAATAGAGGGAGGAGAAATGAGTAAAGGAAATGGTCCTGTATCCAAAAAGAGGTTGAAAAGTCCAAAGGGCTAAAGAAATCTGGATCACAGTAAAAATTAGAATATGTGTGAGATGAATCTGGAAGGATAGGCAGGGGCCAGATTATGTAGGCTTAGTGAGCCCCATAAGAATTTTTGGTGGCAGTTTTTTAAGTTATTAGTTTTTAAAATCAGTACTTTTTAATGGAAACAACATGACCCATTAAAATAACTAAGTTTAATGAGAAAAAAAGGAATTTTTTGATTTTATTTTACTAGGAGAAAGCTATTTAAAGATTTTCAATCTTTTTTTAAAAAAGATTTGTTCTGACTGCTAATAGTGGGAGGAGGACATGAAAGGAAATACAGATATATTTAAGGAGACAACTGCAATGGTCAAATTGAGAGATGATGGTAACAGCATAAGGTAAGAGTAATGGAAATAAAAAGATTCAAGCTCTATTTGAAAGGTAAAACCAATAGGACTTGATGATGAGTTGGGAGGGGGAAATGGGTGGAGAAAACAGAAAAGGAAGGTAAGGAAAAAAATACATCAGGGGTTTCTAGATTTGTCTGTTTAAGCAACTGCCTAGACTAAGGTAAGATTTGCTCACAGAGAAACACTAGGGGAGGAAAATATTTATTTACTGGGAGAGAGGTGGCAGAATGTCAGGAGACCAAGTATTTATTAACAATTTACATCAAATAGCAAAAATGCAATTTGTTACTAAGTTTTTAAAGAATTCCAGCCTGAAAATTAGCATTTGTCAGACTTCACCTTAAATCAGATTCTCTAGTAACTGAAATATACTTTCCCCAAATAACTTTCTTCCAAATAATCTTAATGATCTTCTCACTTGTGATATGCTACACTCAGAAAAGACAGTCAGTAGGCAGTTGTAAATGTGTAGACCCTTATGAGATTCTTCTAGTTACAATGATGCCGCTATCATGGGAGGTTAAGCGTGTCATCTGTGTCTCAACATCAAGGAAGAGTCCAGGGAGCAAGAAATCTAGGTCTGATCCAAACATCTCAAGTTATCAAACCTAAAATTTCTTATTTCAAAACTGTGGAAGGTTAAACCACTGTTTCCTAAGGGATGAAGAAGAGAATCAAGACCTATTTGGGGATTAAAATCAACAGGATTCGATGATTAATTGGATGGGGAGATGGTAAGGGAAGACAGAGAAGGGGAGGAAGATATACACCAAGAACAACAATTAGCATTTTTGCAGGAGTCATGCATGGCTTGAAAAGAAAACAAAGCCCTGACCTGGGGTACTCTGAGGCACACTCTGAGTAGGTGGTTCGGTGAGTAGGGTGGAAAACATCTAGAATAAGTACTGAAACTGTCAAGCCTACCGATAGCTACCTGGTTCACAGATAATGCTTATTGAGAAGAAGAAGGGACCAAGGGCTGATACAGGGACCTGCTAAACTAGGAGCAAATGGTAGTTAAATTAGGTGGCAGATGTTCCTTATCTGGCTCTAAGGAAGAGCTCTGGCATGAAGAACCGTTCCACACACCTTGTTTTCCAGTTGAGAAGCTAACTTAGTTATTTTCTCTAATACTGTAAAATTTGGATGATAATTATCACCTGTCAGATTCCAAGGACGAAAAAGCCAAATGAAATAGACACTCCTTTCCAAAGCTGAAGATAGATCACAAGCTTTAGCAATGCTCAAGAGGCAACCCTGCAGAGGCAGCATGCAGTAGCAACTTGACAATTCTTTTATTCTGTTATCTGGTAGGTCAAACACACCATATACAACTTATCACCTAATTCCTGTGGAACTTGGCGAAAGCTTCAGGTAAAAGGGAAATCTTCATCCTTACAGAAGAAACTGATAGGCTTTCTTACTTGATTTGGAAAAACAGACTTTGGGGCTTTGTGGTCACCTCTATTAACTAAAATACCACTTCCTTCTTAGGAGCATCAGTATTTCCAACTATTTTCTTATAATGTAAACAAGCAATGTAAAATCAAGAAATTCTTAGAAAACAAGCCTTTGTTAAAACAGAGTTACAGACTGAAAGTTATCCTTAAAAATACTTTTTTAGTATCAGATTTCAAAGGCCACATCTTCTAAGTCATTAGGAGCAGCACTAATCCTATTTCCCATGTCACCAAATTGGAAGCTAATACACTACTACTCCCAGACAAGAGGCTTGACAGCACAGACACCATGAGGCGAATTACCTGTCCATCGTAGAGAAGAGCTCTTACAGCCAAATTAACAAAGTATCTAAAACCAACTAACCATTTTTATAGGAAATAACATACAAGGAGTAAAAAGGGGGGGAGGGGAGGAAAGCCACGCAATAGATTTGTGGCCTTACATACCTGGCATCAAGGAACCTTGATCTTAAAATCATAACTGCTTCACAAGTGCTTTGTTTGAGCTGCATCTGAATGGAACTAAATTTTCGATGGATGATGCCCACCATCCTTTCAATCTCTTTTGGGGAAATGGGACGTGTTCTACTCTGCTCTCGGAGAAGGTTCATCACATGTGTAGTGAATTCATTACATGCCTGTAAGGGAGGAAAAATCACTCTTTAGAAATCTGGTATTTTATATGATCACATCCAGACATTAACTCATTTGAATTTCTACCTCATTTGCAGTTGCCAATGGCATGATACAGTGGGTAGGGTAAGATGAAAACTAAGACACTGGTGAAATGGCAGTGGTAGTTAGCGCAACAAGAATTCTGAAACTGAATGGCCAGACATGCAAGGGAGACACTGCACTCAACTGCCTTTCCCACTAACCTTGTCCCAGTTCCAAAATGAGGTGTTCCCAGTGGGGGATGCTCTCTACCAACTCTTATAGATAAATATAAATTTATCTTAGTATTATTGTTAATACTAAGCACCTTCTAATTTCATTGAGGTTTTACATTTATTCAACAAATGTTTACTGAAGGACTATGAAGTTCAAACTCTTCTAAGTGCTATTAAGGGACACAGAAATGAGCAAGATATAGACCTTGCCTTCAGTGTGATAAAATATATAACAAAACTAATTTTCAAACAAGGCAGTCTGTGCAAAGTGTCACAGAGAGCTAGGAATATGTGCTTCCTAAGTTCAAAGGAGGGAGTGTTCTCATCTGGAGGCAGCGATCACGGCAGGTTGCATGGCACAAGTGACATTGGGGCTTTAAAGAATGGATAGGATTTTTGAAAGGTAGATAAAGATGAAATCAGGAGGAATTCCAGGTACAAGGAAAACTGGACATAATAGTATGTGGCAAGTTCAGAGGAACTGAGAGACTATGTAGAGAAGGGATTCAGGTTTGTGATAGCATATAAAGGCCTTGAATGACAAGCATGTCAACGTCCTAGTGTAATTTAGCTGTGGTGTAGGCCCTATTAGTGGACATGAGCCATCCCTGGAAGATGGGCAAGGCAGCTCAACTCTTCAGGGGAGGGGCAAATCCTGATCAGATTTGGGTCTTAACAAATCAGGTTTTAGTTAACTATCCTCAGCCACCATCTCTTTCAGTTCACGTACACTGAAAGCCAGTACTGCCTGGGTAAATAAAGCATCTGTCCTTGAATAAAAAGAACATCTTCTGGCATTTTTGTTAAAAGAATTCTGCATCTTACGCACAGATGCCCCAGATAGGGCGAGCAGAAAGAACAATCATTGATCACGGCAAGATACATTTTGAAGCTAAAAGAATGTCCACTTCCCTACAGATACCCTGAACATTGTTCATATCCAGCATATGATGGTTTCTTTAACTGCTCATTAGAGAACTAACCTTTCAAGTACACCGGGTGTTTCAATTTCTCTAAGCTTTTACAGGGCTTTCCTATAAATATTTCTAAAGTAAGATAAAGAGAGTCTTGCTTACCAGTTAAAATTTTTCATATGTTTTACGTCTTAAGAAATGTAAAATTCCTTGTGAGTACTGGCATCATGCTATACTTATGGAAATCTTCAGAGTGCAGAATTGTGTAATATACACAGTAGGCATCCAATAAACATCTATTGATTGGTGGGTTTTTGTATTACAACTCAAGAACAATGTTAATAGCCTTAAATATATTATCCCTGAAATATAAGAGAATAATTCTTAACCTGCAGTCCATGGAGAAGTTTAGAATGTCCATGACTCCCTGAAATCATATACAAGTTGTATGCACGTGTGTATTTCCTGAAGGGACAATTGTGGAGTTTTTGTTTGTTTTCATTTTGGATTCTTAGTCTAACTAAAAAAGGCTAGGAATTATTATCCTATATTATGACAAAATTATATTAAGGAACTTTGCAACTCTAAAACCAGAAGTTTTTTCCATCTTTACGGAAACCAAAATAAAAGTAAATTTAAGATTTTCCCTGCTCTACTGTCATTGTAAATGATCTTATGCAGAGTTAAAAACAAGTGGCTGCCCTGCCAAGAAATATGTCTATTTTTTCTTGCACTTTCCCTGAAGAGATGTTCATATAATTTGAGAAACTCCAGGCCTTAGTTTTATCATCAGTAAAATGAAGAAAATTAAACTAAAAGTGTTTCCCCAAACTGGGATCAGCAAGTTCTATACTTCTATAGCTAGTTCCAGAAAATGTTCATATATGGCCAATAATACAGTATGTTTGGGTAATGCAATATTAAGCAAAATTTTAAAAGGCTCTTTTTTATTTTTGCAGGACTCCTCAGTACTTCTATTATGCCAATTGCATAGTAAATCTTCAAAGGGGAATGGTATATCCAACTTTTCCCAAGTAAATATGATCACAAAACCTCTATTCTCTAGAGTAGTGCTGTCCAACAGAAATATATTAAGACCCGCCCCAGCCGGTCTGGCTCAGTGGATAGAGCGTTGGCCTGCGGACTAAAGGGTCCCAGGTTCGATTCCGGTCAAGGGCATGTACCTTGGTTGCTGGCACATCCCCAGTAGGGGGTGTGCAGGAGGCAGCTGATCGATGTTTCTAACTCTCTATCCCTCTCCCGTCTTCTCTGTAAAAAATCAATAAAATATATTTAAATTAAAAAAAAGAAATATATTAAGACCCACATATAAAATTTTTAAATTCTCTAGTAGCCATATTAAAAAGAAAAGAATAAGGTGAAACTAATTTTAACATTTTATTTAACTCAATATATTAAAATATTAACATTTGAACACATAACTATAGAAAAACTATAATGAGGCATGCTATATTCTTTTTTCATGCACTTTGAAATCTAGTATGTATTTTACATGTATAATACATTGCAGTTCAGACTGACCAGATTTCAAGGCTCAATAGCTACATGTGACTAGTGGCACCTATTGGACAGCACTATGGCATCTTGCAGACCAATGTGCTATTAAAAACTCTTTGGAAAACAGTACTATCAGTAATCTTTGATGTTTCTTTTTTCACTTGTCATTACCATGCATTCATATAAATACACACACATACACACACACACACACATACACACACACCACCAACAACAAAAAAAACAGATTCACTTAGGAGTGTCCTTAATGAAGCAAGAGAAATTATTCATTTTATTGTATCTCAACACTTGACTAAGTCTTTAATATTCTATGTGACAAATGGGAAGCACACAAAAAGTACTTCTCTGCATATGGATGGATAGTTATCCCAAGAAAAAGCACTTGTGTGATTAAGTTGTAAGTAAAGCTGCTTTTTTTTTCATGAAACACTATTATTTGAAAGCAAAATAGACATATTATGATTATTCGAACTTAGGTGTTTGGCAGATGTTTTCTCAAAAATGAAGCCAGTGAGCCTGTCATGTCAAAGAAAACAGGTGATAGTAGTTGTGCCAGTGGTGAAATTTGAGTTTTGAAGTTAATTATTATAATTTTAAAAGATCTGCACCCACCACTGTGAGCCTGACAGTTTCCCATTACACTTTCTGATAGTTTGGTACTGATTCCCAATGTGCCATTGACGGAATCGAAATGGCAACCTTTTGGTGCATGGGAGGATGCACCAAAAGATTGTAGACTTGATCCCTGGTAGGAGGCATGCAGGAGGCAGTCGATGGATGTTACACTTTCATATCAATGTTTCTCTCTCTCTCCCCGTCTCTAAAAATCAATAAACTATTCTTTTTTTAAAAAGGCTATTAATATATTCCTCCCTTTTCCAGTGATATATCTGTGTGAGGCCAGATGTTCTTCATATAATGTTCTTCTTTAACCACATGACTGACTGCAGAAGTATACGTGAGAATCCAGGTGACTTCTATGAAGTCCAACACGAAAGAATTTTGCAAAAATGTAAAAAAAGTGCCATTCTTCTCATTAAAGTTTGAGTTTTTTGGGTTTTAAAAAATCTTAAGTTAACATAATAGCTTATTGTTCTTATTTTTAAATTAATAAATATTTCTAATTTCTAGTATAATAAATATTGACAGATAGATGTAACCAACCAAGTGAATGCTCTTAAGGGGGTCTCCAATAATTTTTAAGAATCTAAGTCCTAAGACCAAAAAGTTTGAGAACTGCTGTACTAGACTATGGAAGCATTTATTTGTACAAATAACATTGCTAATTCCTACAAACTAACTCACACATTATGGTAACAGACAACTATGATATGGCTTATGTTTTGATAAATAATTCAAGACTCCTGAATGATACCTGCAATGTTAGCTCTCCTAGTATTTCTCTGGCTGTATTTTAATCTCTCCAGAATGAATGTTTATTTGCCTACGGTTTCTAAGAAGCAGTCAAAGGCTCATGTGGACAACAACAACAAAAAACAGGTTAAGAGTAAAAAGTTTTTGCATGTAAGAACTCATAATTTTCTAAAACATTTGCTGAATGTCTCACAAATTATTAAGTGAAGTCATCTATGAATGCAAATGCTGATTAGCAATTTGGCAATAGCCCAACATTCACAGAATTCACATAGCTTTTCTTTAAACCAGTAGTTCATACATGATTAATTAGAACATCTCATTTATGTAGTGTGCACATTAGCTCATTACTCTAAGTAAAATTCGTTAAGTATTTACATTTAGATAATTAAAATCTGGGTACACCCTTAAGAAAGATGCATACACTTTAGGCAAAGTGATTTTTTTTCCCTTTATACCACTGAAAGTAAATTACAGCCTCATTTACAGCCTCATCTCTACCAGTTTCAGAGCACAACACAGTACTGCCTCATTTCCTATTCCTTAAAAGGTAACATTTTAAAAATATAAATGCAGTAAGAATGACCAAATGACTGCAGAGTTTTGAAGGGCCACCCAACCACATACAGCATCAATGCTGTTTATAATGTGAGATGTTCACTTCAAACACTTATCATATCCACCATGACTATGTTATTAAACAGACATTACAGTCTTTGAATTTTCTAATTTAGAGTAATAGCAGAAACCTTTTACTTTTAATCCAGCTGCTGAAAACTATCTAGGATGCATTTTTTGTGTGTATCTTAAAACATACATTGCAATAACATAGTTAAGTGAACATAAAGCACTGAAGGCCTCATGTGAGAAAAATCGTTTCAATCAATTCTGAATCTGAGCCTTCCTTTTTGCCATTTGTTC